GTGAGAGGGAGGAGGACCCCAGACCTGCAGTATGAGGACATGTTTCATGTCATGTTTAAACTGCTGACCGACACCTCTTGCAAAATAATAATAAGCTAGAGTGGCCATCTAGGGAATCTTGCTCTGGCCTGGGGTGTTACAGGGTGATGAGTCTCTGGCCTGTGTCAATTAGCTTTTTGTGCAGGTTAATCTTTGCTACTTGTAATTTTTTTTTTTAAGTTTAATTGACCTACAACACTATGATAGTTCCAGATGTACAATCTAGTGACTTGATTTTTCTATACATTACAAATGGTCACCACGACTGCTTGCAATATTAAAGGAAAAGGTAAAGATGAATGATATTCAGATATGCCAAGTGCCACTGACGGTTGTTAGACACACAGTCAATACAGGCATACCTTGTTTTATTGCACTTTATTGTGCTTCACAAATACTGCTTTTCTTTCTTTCTTTCTTTTTCTTTTTTTTTTTTGTTTTTAAACAAATCGAAGGTTTGTGGCACTCGGCATGGAATTACTCTATTGGCACCATTTTTCCAAAAGCATTTGCTCATTTTGTGTCTCGGTGTAATTCTGTGAGAATTTGGTAATTCTCACAATATTTCAGACTTCTTCATTATTATATTTGTTATGGTAATCTGTGGTCAGTAATCTTTAATGTTATTGTAGTTGTTTTGGCATTTTTTACAAATAAAGTATTTTTTTAATTAAGGTATATACATTTTTTTTAAGATGTAGTGCTACTGCACACTTAAGAGACTACAGTCTAGTGTAAACATAACTTTTATATGCACAGGGAAACCAAAAAAAATGGTGTGACTGGCTTTATTGTGATATTTGCTTTACTATGGTGGTCTGCAACTGAACATACATTATCTCCAAGGGTATCCCTGTATTAAAATTATCATTTACTATGTAATTCATCCCAACCACATATTTTACCCTTCAGTGTTAGGAAATTTGTTATTCTAAGTTTTCTCAAAACATGATGGTTTTGAAATCTGGCCTAAGCACAATGCAGTAGCTATTTAATTTGGGTTTTATATGAACTAAGAGAAAACTTCTGGGAAGCTAGATGGACTGAGTGAAGATAAGAGTTAAGTAATAGAACTTATAGATGACATTTTTGCTGAAAACTTTTATCAGTCAATATTCATTCTATCAGGTACTCTGCTCTAATAACTGAGAATTCTAAGAAATGTAAAATAAAACCCCTTCTCCATTAAACCTTACAAATTAGTTGTTGAATAAGGCATACACATGAAACTTCCAATGTACCTTACTAAAATAATTTTCCTGAATACCTCAGCCTCATATATAAATATTTTCTAATCCAGGAATATAAAGTCTTATCAGCATCTTGCATAGTATTTGTAAAATATGGAGAATCTTAAAATGCAACTATATTCGGAAACTTGTTTGTCATATGCTTTGTTTCCTTTTTCTACTTATCCATTCACTCCTTCTGCATTTTATTAGGGAAGCGTAGACCAGCCTTTGAGAGGTTAACAACCTGGCACAGATTCCTAGGAGCTTATGATCCTTGGAGCTGCTCAGAGACATCTATCTGTGACCAACTTAGCTACCCTTAAATGTATAGTTGCTTTGCAAATCAGAATGTTATTAAAAGCCAGCCAGTTTACATACAGTTATTACATAATCCTCTGTTAAGCAGTTTTTATGCTACAATCTCTGGAATTTTTCTCCTCTTGACATAGGATCTCTTAATAGTTTAAAATGCCTAAAGCAAAAGATTAAACGTTAGTTTACTTCTGACGCACTGTAGACCCGCCTCCATACATGACCTACCAACAGTGCTACTTTCTTATTTTCACAAGTTGTATTTCCATAATCATATTTAAGCATTTAGTACTTAAGCTTTTAAAGGCACCTGCTTAATCCAGGTGTCTGAGTGGTGTGTCCACATGATACTACAAACCAAGAAGCAGCCCAAAGATAGATGATTCACATGTGTATTCCTGTCTGATCCTAACCATTTACCCTGCAGGGAATCAGTACTACCTGCTGGTATTGAGATGTTTCAGCTCCATTTTTCCAAGATAGTGTGGTAAAGGAAATTAAGGAGAGACTAGATGGGAAATTGGGAAGAAGAACATTTATTTGGGTGGAGGAGAGGATAACAGGGAAAGGTTTAGATAGCTGTGATAAATGTAAAGGTAATCCTATAGGCAAAATTGGAAATGGACACAATCCATTCTAGAAACTCTAACTGCTAAGTAACCGTAACAGGCAGAATGAAAACTTGCTTTATCCGCTTCTCTATATTCCCAGCACTTTCTCCACTGGTTCTTTCCCAGTGTTTTATATGTGAATATACTGTGACTTTAGACCTCCCTTGAACAGTGCTGAGGTAAGCCCTTGGCAATGTGCTAACATTGATATGGAAACTTCATATAAATTCCACAGAAAATCAGCATTTTTGTTTTGATGATCTGTAGCTGTGTGTGCATGCATGTTTGCATTCAGTCAGGTAGAACTTTCTTAAAAGAGCCTTCAGTGTTCTTCCTCTGGTTATCCATAGACAGTTGCTGGAGTCAGAATTCACACAGTTGCTCTTTGGGTGGAACATTCTTTTTCGAGTGGAACCCTGAAGTGTGCGTTATAATGGAAAGATGGCAAATGGATTTCCTTAGAGTTAGGAGGAAGGGTAATGAGAATATGTTGTGTAAATACATTTGTATCTTGTGGGAATTTGATCAGAGCCAAGAAAATATGGGCCTCTACTATTTCTTTGCATATATTTTCTTCATCTTGTTTGCATGTGCATTTTCCTCTTCTCTGGTTATTTATCTGTATATCCAGATCTACTATATGAAATTTTAGAGAGTATGGAGCTGTGTGACAGCAGAGCTTTTTTTTGTTGTTTTACTGAATGTTTTGTTGGTGCATATGGTCTGACATGGATGAGCAGCCACGGTGAGATTTTGGAGTCTATTAAACTGGCTCATTAAAAAGATCAATCTGTTTCTGTAATAACACTGGGAACCATCAGTCACTAAAAGAGGGAAAAACTGACACCTGAGGAGAAAACACATTTTGATAATTTGTTCATGACATGTCACGAACAAAAGAGCGCTCTATATTTTGTTTACAACTTTCAGGCTTAAATTCTGTGATGATTGCTGATTTAATCTACTAAACAGTCCTCACGTATTTCAGGGATGGGTTTTGGCAAATGTGACTTCTCATCTTTAAATGTGATTGTCACTGGTTATATTTTTTCTTTTTTTAAGCATTACTTTTATTTACAGAGAAATGAATACTCTGGGGAAGTCTATGATTTTTTTTTTTTTTTTCCTGTATGGAACAGTAAAATTTATTCTACTTCTTTTTAAAAATAGATCTAGGGTGAGTCCCTGAACAACTATACTAGATTTGTAGGTCTGTGGTAGAATAACTTAGAACCCAAATTAGAAAGAGACAATTTTCATTTAAAAATCGTGCTATTTTCTTCCTAAAATATTAGAGAAAGTTAATAGAAAGTTCTGATTTCTATTCTTTGTTCATATGTAAAAGTTTATTGTTTATCTTGCCATTTTGTGATGGGAAAAGCTGAGGAAGGGAATACAAACCTTTTTTGGAGCTGATTAAATGAAGAGACCACTTTCAAACAGAGACTAGAAGTTGAGAGTCCTCTTTAAAACTGCTCACCATGATGGTCATGAAAACACAGTTTCAAATGGAGTGAGGAGGGAAAGAACAGTTAGACAAAGGCTGCCTTTTTTTGAGAGTACAAAAATAGTTAAAAATTACTATGTTTAAAAGGATACATTTTTTTTTGTTAATTATCATTTGATGTCTTTTCTCACAGCTTTGATGTTGCAGCTTTTGTTATATTTGTCTTTAACATTGTGCTCTCACCTGTCATGCCGATTTTCTGACTCAGAATCTTCCTGGCTTAAATCAAATCGAACGATCATTGGTTTTGTATGGGTAACACTGTCTCTACTGCCTTCCTCCCCGTTTCAAGTGATTTATGTTAAATATTAATCCCCTTCATCTATCTATCTCTATATCTATATATTTATATATAATCATTTTAATGTAATTATGCTTTAAATTACTCTCAGTTTAACACATCTTGGTTTTTATTATGAAGGCCACATGGTTGCATTAATATGTATTTCCTCCACCCCCAATTATTAAACATTATTTTCTAAAAAGATTTTCTTGAGCTTTAGAAGTATGTAATTTGTTAGCTGGGAGCAATCTTATAGATTTATGAGGCCAATCCTTTATCTTAAGAAAACTAAGGATGGAAGAACTTGCTTAAAGTTACAGAGCTTCTTAGTGGAGAAATTTACCTACCTGAAATCTTCCAGTTGCACAAAATATGATTTAATGTGCAGAATGTAAACAAGGAAAGCTTAACTAAGAATTGTGTCTTTTTCCCTCCTTACTTTCCCTCATTTATTTTTCTCTGTAATTGCTTATGTGGGCAAATGCAACAGTATAATATTCTGAGGTTTTATAAATTTTTATACTGATAGAGGATTCACAGTAAGCCAGGTTTCCTGGCTTAATGAGTAAACTAGAAAACACTGAATGTTGGAGGGTCATAAGGCAATCATTTTGAAACCGTGTTGGTTGAATGTATAAGATTTGTTAGCAAAGCACACAGCAGCTGAACCTACTAAATCCATTTTTCCTTTTCTGCAAAATGAATGAGATTTCAATATTTTTGTCTTTCTAAAGAGAAAAGATAGATGCACTTTATAAGGAATTGTAGGGACTTCCCTGGCAGTCCAGTGGTTAAGACTCAGCACTTCCGATGCAGCAGGTGCGGGTTCAGTCCCCGATCGGGGAACTACAATCCCACATGTTGCGTGGCACGGCCAAAAGAAAAAAGAAAAGAAAAGTTATAAGGAATGGTAGAATTAATTGACTATGCAAATAAGAATTAAATTTTTATTGTCTGCCGCATTCACTTTTCTGTGAAAAAATATGAGGGGTTTATATTATATTCACACATTCTTG